TAGCACCCTGACTGGCTCCTCCCTGCAACCCTTCTGTAAGGAGATGTCCAATTGCCAACAGATGGGCTTTGGGTCTCTACTCCGCACTCCCCCCTCCTTCACAGTGATAGGATTTTTTGTTCTGGGTCTTTGATGACTGATACCTGATCTCATCGACACCTTATGATCACACAGGCTGTTGTGCTTCTTCCATATGGACTTTGTTGCTTCTCAGCTTGATGGCCGCTTGTTTATCTTCAAGCCTTTAAGACCCCAGACACTATATCTTCTGATGCCAGGCACCATCCGCTTTCTTCTCCACATTTGCTCATACCCTCGCTTTTGTCTTCAGTGATCGTGGGGGACAGGTAGGAGTAGTGATATCACAGTCCTGGGAGTGGGGTGGGGTGTGAGTCACTCCGTCCCCAGAGGAGCAGCTGCCCCTCTGTCAGCAGTAAACGGACCGTCGTCGGTGACTCGGGAACCCACAGCATCAGCCCCAGGTTGCAAGTTTGTGATGTGACTTGGCAGGTATTTTGAGGTGCCTTTGCGGGAGATGGGTCCCCATGGCATCGTGGGTTACACATTAAGCCGCCCAAGGTCTGTCCACAGGGAGAAGATGAGGCTCTCTGTTCCCGTAAAGATCGAAGGCCTCAGAAACCCACGGGGCGGTTCTAGCCTGTCCTTTAGGGTCACTGTCAGTCGGAAGTGACTGGATGGCAGTCAGTTTGGTTTTGCGTTTTGGCTGTGGTGGCGCAGTGTGAGTGCCAGGCTGAACCACAAGGTCAGCAGTTCAAACCCAGCAGCCAGCCACTGTGTGGGGAAGGATGAGGAGCCATTCTGATCCTGTGAGGAGTTCCAGTCTCAGAAATGCACAGGGGCAGTTCTGCTGGCTTAGCGGGTGGCTACAGGTCAATAGACTCATAGCAGTGGGATGGGTGTGTGTATGAGCGGGGCCGCTTTCTTTCCTCACTGCTCTGACGTGGGTTTCTATGGTTCTGACGAGCTGGCCTGGTGCGCTGCGCACTCCCTCTCTTGGGTCTCTCGTTCTCTGCCCCACTCTGTGGCACACTTTAGCCATGCCCTTGTGTTAAAATGTGGAGGTCCTGACATTTATTTGCAGGAGGGCCCAGCATCCTGAGTGGGGTCTGGCTGCTGAGCGAGGCCGGTGCCACAGCACTGATTCGGAGGCCTGGGCGGCTTGCTCCTGAGGGCTGGCTCCTTAGCATATGTGTGGTCTTCTAGCTGGACAGACTGGGCATGGGTGGGGGTGCTCCTGCCACCTGCAGGGTACCCTCAGGGTAAGATCCGGCACAGACCTGCACTCTCCAGTGCCCCCGGGAAGCCCTCTGTCCGGGCCTCCTCCCCACAGTACGCCTGTGGCCCTGCAGTGCTTGTTGTGCTGAGGGCAGGGCATCGCACGTCATGCTTCCTGTGGGCTAACCCAGCTGGAACCAGGCTGTGTGACTATGCTGTCTCCGAGCCCTCCCTGCCAGCCAGCCAGCCCCTCAGCGACCGGGCATTTAGAGTCACTTCCGTACTCATGTCATAATTCCCCTTAATAAAAGCTGGTTGCCGTCAGCAGACAGCTCCTGGGAGCAGGGCCCCGGCCTTGTCAGGCTGGGAAAGAGGATGACAGCCATGATGGGTGCTGAGAAAGAAGTCCTGCAATGTGGGGTGGCCCGTTCAAATATGCTGGCCATCTGAAAGAAAGACGAGGCCGTGTGCTCCCCTATAGACTGATGCTCTTGGAACCCCAGGGCCAGGCTCGTGAGGAGCTGCCTTTGGTTGGGGTTTCCTGGGCAGCACTTTGACTTTGGCTGAATTTGCTTCATTTAAAAAACAGAATGGGCGCTGCAGATAGGCATCTCTTAAAAACTCAGACGATGCTCCCTGCCCTGAGTCAATCCCCTGAGGGCCCCCGACCCACCCCCAATCCAATGCCCACGCTGCTGTTGCTGCATGTGTCGGTTTTCGGTGTCTGTGGGCCCAGCCCATCGTCTCATTGCTTGCCCACAGCCGTCCGCGTGGCAGGGCATCTGTTCTCCCACCTCGGCTTCTCATGAGCTCTGTGTCCTAGTACCCTCCTGCTTGGCCCCCACACTCCCAGCTCCCTGGGCAAATGGAGGGACTTTCTGATAGGGCCACCTTGATACAATGACACCCCCACCCCTACCCTGTGATCCAAGCAGTGCATTTGGTCTGCCTCCCCGACATTCTGTGGGAGGCCCCAGAACCCCCCTGCTTCTGTGAGGGGTGGGGTGCTGGAGAGGAGAGCTGAGTGCCTGGTGGGGCCTGGGACCTTGGGATGATCTTTGTCCTGGCACGAGGTTCTTCCCCGGGACCGCTAGTCTGAGGCCACAGCTGTCTGTTAGGTGTATCTCTTGGGGAACCACCTCGTTGGGGCTCTGACTTGGCCCTCCCTCCCAGGACGCCTGGTACCATGCTCCACCGGTCATGTGAGTGTATCCTGGTCTGGTTTTTGTACAGGTGTCAGGAGCCCTGCTGGCACCCCAGCTCTAAAGGAGAAAGACGGGGCAGTCTGCGCTCAGAAAGCTTCCCAGCCTCACAAACCCTAAGAGGCAGTCCCTCTGGAGCCGGGTGCAGCGGGTTTCTACGTCTGTAGGTATTTAATCGTATCCGTGCGGCTTTATGAATGGGGTTTCATTAACATAGGGCTGCGAGAGAAAGACGTGGCTGTGTGCCCCATCACGCCGAGTTACAGCCCTGGAAACCCACAAGGGCGGGTCTGTGCTGCCCTATAGGATCGCTAGGACTCAACCGACTTGGTGGCAGTGAGTTTGGATTTTGGTTTATCATAGGGGGAACCCTGGTGCTATAATAGGTTCATTATTAGGCTGCTAACCACAAAGTTAGAGGCCCTGGTGCTACTGTGGCTATGCATTGGGCTGCTAACCGAAAGATCAGCAGTTTGAAACCGCCAGGTTCTCCTCGGGAGAAAGAGTAGGCGTTCTACTCCCGTAATGACCGGTCTCCGAAACTCAGTAGGACAGTGCTCCCTGTCCTGCCGGGTCACTATGAGCCGTCATCCTCTTGATGTCAGTGAGGTGTTTGAGAAACTGCAAGGCTGGCAGTTCACACCCTCTAGCTGCCGCTCTTCCGAGAAAGATGAGACTACCTGCTCTTGAAACACGGCCGGCCTCAGAAACCCTGGCAAGCGGTCCCAGCTGCCCTACGGGGTCATTGGGACAGAACCAACACAGCTTCCCTTAGCGCCGCGTCATCCAGCCCTCTGGGGTGGTGTACTCACACACCACACACACACACCCCGCGTACATACATATACGGGATTGATTCTTTTGTGTGTTAACTTTAGGTCTGCAAGTTCAGTCAAACATTGGATTGCTTGGGGTGGCTTTATCATTGACTCCCGGGACCAGTACTGCGAATCTGTTTCTAGGAAGTTTCTGAGACAGCAGAACGTTAGAGACTGATAGCCACCCTGGGGTGGTTTGGGTCTGGGGCGGGGCCGGGGTTTTCGGGGTGCTGGCGGTGCCCTGGGCCCTGATTGCTTACCTATTTTGAGTCACATTTTCCCAAAGGATTTTACCGTCTCAGGTTTTTGGTTTTTTTATTAAGCTGAGCATTTTGTGATTTGGGTGAAAGCGTACAGAGCAAATTAGTTTCCACTCAACAATGTGTGCACATTTTGTTTGATGATATTGTCACAGTAGTCCCCTCGATGTAGCAATGTTTCCATTTGCCCTTGTGTACTCTGAACTTGGTGGACAGACCCTGCCTGGTGGTCTCCTGTGCTTGATGCTCTGAGGAGCATGCTCTGCACACGGCTTACTGTTCCCTGTCCAGTGGTCTCCAGAGTGGGTTCAATCCTGGGGTTTAAGGGCTCCTAATAGTCTTGGGGGTTCTTCTAAAGTCTTTTTCTTTTATGTTTTTGAGTTTTGCTCTATTACACCCCTCTACACACACACACACACACACACACGTCCTTTTATTCTGTTCCTGACCAGAGCAGTCAGTGGCAGCAGCCTGGCACCCTCGCGTTCTTCTGGTCTCAGGCTGCTGGAGGCTGTGGTCTGGGTGGCTCGCAAGGCTGGGGACTCGTTGCTTCTTCCCGGGACCTGTGCTCTTCTTCACCTTTCCTTGTTCTGCGCAAGAAGAGACCTGGGCTGTATCTCAGGGGCTTTAAGCTGCTAAGATCTATTGCTGCTCAGCAAAGTAGAATGTCGGACTTCCCTTTACGACCACAATGTGCCCCTTGACCTACAGGCTCCTGCAGATACTGACCCCTAGCCATAAGCGCAGAGGCTCCGGCCCTCAGGACTGTGATTAAGGCAGCCTTTGCCCGTCCCGAGTGCAGACACACAGTGTTACTATGCAGCGGCTGTACTTGTGTACCGGACTGTTGTCGCTGCCTTGTTGCCGGCAGTCCCTTGCAGTTGTCTCTTCCTCCTGTCCCGTGGGAAGCACAGCGACCTTTTGTGTAACAGGGTGAAAGGGAACGCCGCCAGTCCTGGCCGCCTCCTGATGTTGGCTGGGGTCGAGGTTGTTGTTCAAGTTCTGGTGTCGGTCCGTCTCTCGAGGCTCTGCCTCCTCCCCACTCAACCTGCGCTGGGCCGGCCACAGCGCCTCTCTCCGGGGATGGCGCTTTCTGAAGGCCTGCCCACAGTGAGGACTGACAGACATCTCACCCTCCTTGCTGCGGAGGGTCGTGCTGGCTGTTTCTTCTGAGATCCTGTGCTGCCTTGGAACTTTCAGTATACGTGTGCCGAATGAATACGTAAATGAACTTTCACAAGCACTCCCAAAAGTCATTATTAATCCAGTTTTTTTTTTTTAAAAACACAGCTTCCTGAGGTAAAACTCACGTAACATAAAATTAACCATGATAAAGTGAACAGTGGTATTTCATACATTCATTAGCCCCCCAGTGGAGAACTTGGGGGTCCTTGTCCAGGGTCTCCAGCTGTTAATTACAAACTCAGGGTGCAGCGTGGATTCCATACAGCATTGTAAGCGTCTTTGTGTCTTCTCCCCCTCAGGCCCGGTACAAGCAGAGCCTGGACCCGACTGTGGACGAAGTCAAGAAGCTGTGTACGTCGCTGCGCCGTAATGCCAAGGAGGAACGGGTTCTCTTCCACTACAACGGCCATGGGGTGCCCCGGCCCACAGTGAACGGAGAGATCTGGGTCTTCAACAAGGTGGGCATGGCAGGAGGGGGCCTCTCTCCTTATGCTGACAAGTCTGTACGGGGCAGCGGCGCAGGTCTGCCGTTGCACATCTGCTGTTCCACATCTGCTGTTCCGTCCCTGCCCGCGACCACCCATGGGCTCAGGTTGGACGCAGTGAGGTGGGGGAGGGGGTTCTGGAATCACTTCCCCGGCAGAGATGACAGGGAAACCCCCTCAGGCCCAGGGGCTCATCTCTGTTGCTGAGCATGTCGGTGGAAGCGCTGTCCAGCCAGGGATGCAGTCTGACCTGTGACTTCTTTCCCTCTGTGAGGACGTAAGGCCTCAAGAAAGCCTGGTTTGGGGCTGGAGCAATCATAAGATTTTTCTGTTTTGCCAGAATCTTCCATTGAGAATCACTGCTTTACCTGAAATGTATTCAGTGTTCTGGAGGTCGACGCCAATTGGCTCTTTGGTGCGCACCGACCCCCACGTCAGCTGAGCCCAGCCCTCTTCTGGGGCTGGGACTGCGGGACTCGCAGGGTCCTGAGCAGGAGGGTGCAGAGGAGAGTGCCCTCAGGTGACACCTGTCTTGCTCTTCTGGGGTGCGAGGGGCAGGCTTCGCCCCAGTCCACCCTGCAGGGCCAGGCACCATCCTCATCACTCGCTGTGTCCTGTTTAAAAATTCTTGCTTTACCCCACGGTCATAAAAATATTCTGCTGTTTGTTCTACAATTTTGTATTTTTGTCCATGGCATTTTGGCCTTTAATCTACATGGGACTGTAAGTTGGCAGCCCAAATTTATTTTCTTTAGATCCCACCCCTTTCTGGCTGTCTCATGCCAGCTTTCCACGATCCCGAGGGTCGGAGTTTCTGTGCCCTGTGCCCGTCTGCCTCCCCCTGACGCAGGGCACTGTTCCGATGCTGGCGGTTCATCCCCTTCACGTTGCTCTTCTCCAGTGGTGCCTCAGCCGGGCTTGGCCCTTTGATAATACTGAGCCCGGTCCACGAGCCCTCTCACTTTGAGAAACTGGGGTGATAGGAGCCTGCTTTTAGAGAACCACGCCTGTGAGCTTTCCGCTGGCTCAGCGCTGCCCCTTGCTCAGGAAGGCTGGGCATCCCTTGCTAGAGTGATTCTGAGGTGCTTTGCAATCTTGATGCTGTCAGGAATGTTTTGTTTGGGGGTTTTTTGGGTGGGGGGGGCACTCTTCTAATTTTCTACTAGGTGAAGGCCATTGTTTTTTTTGTTTTTTTAACATTTTATTAGGGGCTCATACAACTGTTATCCCAATCCATACACACATCAATTGTGTAAAGCGCATTTGTACATCGTTTCTCAAAACATTTTCTCTCCATTTAAACCCCCGACATTAGGTCCTCATTTTTCCCCTCCCTCCCCGCTCCCCCCTCCCACATGAGCCCTTGATAGTTTATAAATGGGTATTTTGTCATATCTTGCCCTGTCCGACTTCTCCCTTCATCCACTTTTCGGTTGTCTGTCCCCCAGGGAGGAGGCCACACACAGTTCCATGCAATTGTTTCCCTCTTTCCTACTCACTCTCCCTCCACCCTCCCTGTTTTGCCACTCACACCACTGGTCCTATAGGGCTCATCCGTCCTGGATTCCCTGTATTTTCAGTTCCTATCTGTACCAGTGTACCTCCTCTGGTCTAGCCAGTCTTGCATGATAGAATTCGAGTCATGGTAGTGGGAGCGGGGAGGAAAACTTTAGGAACTAGAGGAAGGTTGTATTTCTCATCATTGTTACATCGCACCCTGACTGGCTCATCTCCTCCCCGAGACCCCTCTGCAAGGGGATCTCCAGTGGCCTACTAATGGGCTTTGGATCTCCACTCCACACTCCCCCCATCATTCACTATGGTAAGATTTTTTGTTCTGATGATGCCTTACACCTGATCCCTTGGCCATTGATTTTTGTGTACAGTTTTCTTACTGTGTCGCTTATCAATTCTCATACTTTACCTACATACTGGGGTTTCTGAGTAGACTGTCGGGTCTTCTGCCTCCCTGGGCTGGCTCACACCCCAGTGCGTGGAGTCCTGATTGAGCACAGCCTGGCCTGGCCTCCGGTTGATTAAATTCCCAGCTCACTGTGCCCGCAGAGCTGCTGGGCTTGTGGAGAAAACGAGCACGTCTCTACCCCAGCAGCCCACCCCTGCTCTGCCGGTGCAGGTTCTCCAGGGTCAGGGGGTGGGGGAATGGGAAGGGCGTCTGTGGTTTTTCTGTTATGAGACATGCCTTTGATGCCTGAGAGAACCCCGTGTGTCACTATAAACCCTCGGTCTCACTTATTGTCTCATTCCATGTGCCAAGGTTTTGCGGAATCTTGCACATCTGTACCCGTGGCTGAGCTGCTCCTGGAATTTTCCTGTGCCGAGGCTGGCTCTGGGTGCCCCGGGTTTTCACCACAGCCATTGTCTCTGACGACACACACGGTGGGTGTGGTCCTTCTCTGCAGAGACGCTGGCGCCGCTCTGGGGGTTTGTGCTCTGGGCGCTGGTTCAGCTACAAGCTGTCTGCATGGAGATCCTATTTTTGGAGAGAACTTCAGACTCTCAATTTCGTCTCTGTCGTGGATGAAGGGTCGTTCTGGTGTCCCATTGGCCTGGGGCCAGCCTTGTTAGCTTACTTCCCGGGGAAATGTACCCATTCCAACTACGTCTCCAAAGTCATTGGCCTAACGTGCGTCTTAGTGTGCGGTGATCACTGAGCTGCAGCTCAGGTGCCTGTGTGTGATGGTCCTTAGTTCTTTCTTGGCTCGGTTTGTCTCCTCCTTCCTGACACGGTTTCTGTGCATTTTCTCGGCCTTCCATAGACGCGACGTTGGACTCTGTAGCTCCAACAGGAAGGACAGCAAGAGCAGGACGAGTAGCCCCCTCCTCCCCTCCCGTTTGCTTCATCTCCCTGTGGCCACACAGCCTGTCCCTGACCACCATCCTGACCTTTCCTGAACGACTGTACACTTACTCTGCCCTGTCATTTCATGGAGAGCTCACGTGAGGACAGTTTTCCCAGCTGGCTCCCACATTTGCTTTAGTAAAAGCATTCTGTGTTGGTTTTGCCTTGGGTCTGGCTCCAGTCAAGTTTCACACCTGGCATGTTTGTCCTGCGTTCCCAGCACCTCAGGTGGGTCTGCCCACCGCCCCCTCCCCTTGCTCTGCTCTCAGGTGCCCTACCCTGGTGCAGTGTTTGTTTCTTCGAGGGGAGACGGGCAGCAGGACAGCAAGATCCATCTCTGTGGTCTCCACAGGGAGGCCCCTTAAACACAACTCAGAGAAGCTGGAAGCGAAAGGCAGGGAAGACGCGGGCCCCAGACGCTAACCAGGAGGCAGCCCAGGCACTGCGTTACTGGGCAGACTTCATGTCAGGGAGTGTTGCCTGGGAGGGAAAGGAGTCGGGCATCTGATCCGTGCGTCGACCACCCTAAATGTGTATGTGTCTGATCCCAGAGGAGAAAATCCACCAGGCTGGAGGAGCCCTGGGGATGCAGTATGTAAGCACTGACAGGCCAACCTGAAGTCGATGGTTCGAATCCACCAGTGACTCCACAAGAGAAAGACCTGGAGATGTACTTTCTTGGAGACGAGAGCCCTCCGGGGCAGCTCTCCTCTGTGAGGCGTGGGGTCACCCTGTGTTGAGATCTGTGCAGTGGCCATTAACAATAATAGCAGGTCCCTCATAGAAGTAGTAGCGGGGGTGGGGGGTTGGGGGAGAGAAGTAGTAGCCGGGCCCCTCAAGACACAGCCTAACCCTGCCGGATACAGCCGCCTTAGTGACGCAGCCCTCGCCTGCCTCATGAGCACCGCCGAGGTCAGGACTGACAAGATCAACTAGAATACATGTTGGCAGCATTGACCTAGCTAAGGGGACAGATAAACAAAGCCCCAATTCTTGTTGCCTCCAACTGTCTGTAACTGTCAATCAGTCATTGGTAGATTACAACTGATGGGTAAAATAGCCCAAAACTCTCAGAAAGAGATACAGAGAACCCTCAAGCACATGGCGTCGTTTACTAGTAAAAAAGAAGAACGAGTGCTCATCGAAAGGCCTGAGCAGTACGCTCAGTCACCCATCTCCACCGTCCTGTCTCCCCAGACTAGTCGTGGGGTGCATGCGGTGAGCTCCCCGAGGGAGCTCGTGCAGGCCCTAGAGATGCCGCAGTAGAAGTTGAAGGATTGGGATCATAGGGGGAACAGCCTCTGGTCATGACTTCTTCAATCATGGGATTGAAAACCAAATAGCACATGGGTCCAAAAAGCGAATCACAAAGGAAAGTTAAAAATAATTGCAGCCGGATGATAGGGAAAATATAACTCATCCACATCCGTGGGCCGCGTTCTTGGAGGAAGACGACTGATCCATCACTGTCGGCCCGGACTCTGTGTCCTGCGTCACCGTCTGATGGGAAGCCGCTGGCTGGCTGGCTTCCCAAGGTGCAATCACCAGCGTTTACAGCACACGACTAGTCGCTGCAGGGGAACCTCCATGGCTGTGGCCCCGTGGGGGGCTTTAGAGGTGGCCCAGTGCCTCTTCAGCTATTTAACTATTTTCATCTTCCTCCCTTGGGTCCCTTTGGCTTCTCAAATGACCTGAAATCTCTGTTAACAATAACGATATGGATGTCACTTCCTCTTGCTAAGGAACTAATTAAGTGCCTTTCTATGCATGGGGAAACATATTATGGGCTATAGCTAACAGTATTTATGTGAATATATAAAGCTTGAAATTCTCATATAAAAAGAACAGGAGTTTGCGGTCAAAACCTAATTTTGAACCTTTAAGAAATGACAAACAAACTCAAAGTAAGTAAAGAAAAGAAATATTTAAGAATAGAAATCAATAACACGATGTAACAACGATGAGAAATACAACTTTCCTCTAGTTCCTAAATGTTTCCTCCCTGCTCCCACTATCATGACTCGAGTTTGACCTTGCAAGTCTGGCTGGACCAGAGGAGGTACACTGGTACAGATAGGAACTGAAAATACAGGGAATCAGGGAGGATGAGCCC